GGGGGGGGGGGGGGGGGGGGGGGCAAATCATTGACATCGGAACTAAAATGTCTTAGACTGGTTAAATAACCGATTGTGAAATCCTGTTGTGATTTTGATATATTTTCATCTCTTCTAAGATATGAAATACAAAGGTATCATTGTTAATTACATTCTTTTGTAGCACATAAATGAAAAATTATGTTTTGACTAGACAAAAGTCCATGACAATAAATGTTACTTTACCCTTGTAAAGATAATGAATACTCGTTAAGATTATTCCTGAAGTTAATTAAGACTTCTAAAGATATTACTTGAAAATGTAATATTTTGTTTAGTACTGCAAGAACAATAAGATTTTTTATGCATTTTACCATTATGATGCAGTGCAAAATTAGTAATGATGTAGAACAAGAGTAAATGGTTGTTTTAAAATATTCAAAACTCAAATATCTAATTGCTGTAATACTTGATTGTTTCTTAAAGTAAGCAAACCAAACACATTTTTTTAAATCTAAGAATTACCAATTGCAATATGATAAATAAGAAAATATTATTGTGATCATCACATTTTTAATCTATTTCTGAAATCAAATATCATGGGATAAACAAGGTCAATTCTGAGTGAGAACAAACACAAGTTAAATATATTTATTCTTTCAATTTTTTTGAGTTAACATAATTTTAATTGAAAAACTTTTTTCACTTAATTGATTAACTTTTTTGACAAACATGCCACAATTATTTTACAATGATTTCTTCACATCCAAATATCTGTAAAATGAACTGCTAGAATAGCTATTGTTTGTTCACTAACAGGTAGAATCTCTATCTATTCTACCTCCTGTACGATAATCCTGAAATTAAAAGTTGTCAAAAGTTATGTAAGTATTTTTAATTATTTCATGGGCAGATAACTTCTCTTTAATATTTCGTTTTAAAATTTGTTGGCAAAGATTTACCGTACTCTGTAAATACATTAATTACACATCTAATAATACGAATACACCACTGTACAATATACAATATTTGTATGAAAGTATGAAAAATTAATGCTACAAGTATAATACAAAAGGTGTAAATACAAAATGTGTCAAAAGATCATTGTAAATCACTTCAAATACTGTGCATTAGCCTGTATTTCTTCAGCCTGTCTGTAACCATTCATTTCCTTAACTTTTATAATTTTTTTATTTGTTTGTTTGTTTGGTAGATATATAAAGAATATTTGTACATTTAAATCTCATAAAATAAAAAAATTTAAAAACTTTATTCCAAAGTAGACTTTTCATTCAATATCAAGCCTTTCATTTTATATAATGAATGTGCAAAAAACAAACATGAAAATACTTCCATACTTACTCGTACAGATACCTTTAAATAATGATTCTGCTCTTTTTTGTAGCATTAAATCTCATGCTGATTAATTTCATTCCAATGACAGACATCAGTATATCATTGCCAAGAACAATTCAGTTTATTTTGATCATGATAATAGTGACAAGAATTGTGAGGAATAAATTTCATTACTTTCTGTTTTCTTCTATACACAGGAAATAACCTGAGCTATCAGCAACTGATAACAAATTACAACATGATAAAACATTATATACATACAAGAAAATTCCAATTTTCTCTTGACTTGTGCTTTTGCTTGTGCATCACCTACAGGCTTTCTTACTTAAGAGAACAAAATGAAGGGCCACAAGTACTAACAAGAACCTTTTTAATAAACATCAAATACAGTGGACACTTTCTTATCTTTGCTCCAGAGGGACTTTAAATTAAAGAAAATTTCAATTAATCAACAACTCTTTTCCTCAATCAAAATAAAATAAAATAAGTGTATTAATTAGTGATCAGTGTCTACGAACTTCATAATTGCTTGGTTCTGTTATCCAAAACAATTTTTCCCCCAAAAACATGGTGAAACGATATTTTAAAAACAAAAAGTCTTAAAAATTGTACCCAACGATGTATACAATGTAATACATACATGAACACATGAGAACATTGAAAAAAGTTACTGATTTTTGTTTTCTTTGATTTGGACACATTACACGAAATCTTCAATTTCATTGATGGCTTGAATTAATTCACCTTTAGCATTTCAACAAAGTTAAACTGCAGTCCCTCCACACTTTGATTATAAATCTGAAAAAGTGCCAAAATGATGATTTTTTTGTCTTCATAGATTCTTCTTCTAGTAGGAAATGTTATTTCAGTAATATTTGGTAGTTTCTTAGAATTCAGGATTTGTTAATTTCTTTAAGATGTATAAAATCTCTGCCCTGAATTATCCAAACTTTACCGGTACTTCTGAAAAGTCAAATTAAACAAGATATTTATCATTGGTTTATATGAAAATGAGAAAAGAAACAAACTCTTCAATCGACCCAGTAATTTAAATTATTTCATGTGAAAATAATCAGAATCCACTGTGTTTAAGATCCTCTGCCTATTATTATGATGGAATTAATGTATCACAAGACAGGGGTCATCTAGAAAGTAGAGAATATTTCTGACATTCTTTAATCAGTTCAGGCAATGACTAAAAATGTAGTACATAATTACTGGGACATTTATCATTTTCCTGTACATTGCTGTCACTCAGTGTTAAAACAGTTATATTTTAAGTTTCTCAATGCCACCTGCACATTCAGTTGCATCTAGGTTGTGAACCAGTTGATAACTGCCTCTTTCAAAGGATAATCATTAGCAAAATGTCTGCCACACCAGTACTACACTTCTCACTCGAGTAAATGGAGGTAAATACTGCCATTGTATGGCAGATGTTTAAAAATGTAATGTTTAATTGGTAATTCTCATTCCATTTAGCTGCACAAATACAAGACCTTTGAGCAGTTTAGATGAGAAACAATTTCTTTATTTGAACTTAAATAGTAATGATGTAGAGAGAAGTAGTATAAATTTTTCAGTAATTGTATACCTCATTTAGTGTGTCATAGTTTAAACTAATTAAAATGTATGGAAGACAAATGTTCTTTACTATCTGAAGTATCAATGCAAGTTTTCAATGCAATAGATTTTTTTCCCTATAATTTTGAAGTATTGTTTGATATCCCTCATTATAGGCAGTTAGACTCATTTTTCACTTCTCAGAAACACTTCAAACTGTACTATGTACAAAAATTAAAATTCTTGTTGTAACCAATTCACAGCTTTTAACTAAAGATTCAAATACTTTTATTGGTAATTTCACCTTTTAGGAACATCTGAATATATCTCATTGTGCTAAGAACTTTTATAATATAAGGAAAAAATATTTAAAGTGTTCCTTCATCAAAACTGCAAATACTTTTTCAATGAATAAATTAAAATAAAATTTCTCCATTATGTATTTATAATGGACCTAATATATAAATATATTTAATTATTTATAAAATCCAAAATTGTTACCTAAAAGAATTTAAATGCCCCCCAAAAATAATCTTTGATAATTAAAAAAATATTTTAGTGTTTATTAATAAAAATTTATAATTACGTTTAAAAAAAAATTAAGTTATTTATCACAAATACTTTACAGGTATATAATATTCACTCTCATTTTTAAATTAAAAGGAATTTCAAAGGAATTTATACGTTGACTATGCTGTCTCGACTTCCATCTCCCTTAGGACTGGGTAACCGACCCTGGGCTTTCAACTGTTCCTGCATTTGCGTCAGCATGTTCTGCATTCTGCGAATCTGAAACACATATTATTTCATACAATGAATCATGTATATTGCATTTTGCAATTAATTAGTATGCTGGAAATGAACATTTAATTAATTTAGTGTACAAGGGAGAAAATTATATATTATTCACAAGTGAAATACTGAAGCAGCAGTGAGAGGTGAGGGGGCAAATTTTTACAAGGGAACAAAATGTATTTATTCATGGGAGCCTTACATTATTATACCCCTCACCATTGATAATAAAAAAAGGAATAATTAAAAGAAATATCTAAAGATCTGATTGTTTTAATGAGATTGCTACCTAGGAGACATAAACAAGTGACATTTTTAAATATATTTAGATGGTGTGAGGAATAAAATCCAAAGCAGAAAATTGAAGTTTTTATGTAATCAGTAAAAGACTTTACAGTTAAATTAAATGAAATCATTTCATATGTTCTTAAAGTTAACCCTCAAGGCACAGTTAAAAGAAGATGCAGTAATTATCTTAATTCAGAGTTTTCTATCCTTTTTAAGAATTACATTTTTTAACATAATTTACATCTTTCAGAGCAGATCCATAGGGTAAAATGAGGGAAATATTTCCTCCTAAGAGTGAACAAAATTTTTGTAACTGATAATTTTAACTTATCCTGAACTTAATTAGCTGGAATATGTCAGTATGAAACATGAATGTTTGAACAGTTTGAAAATCACAGAATGGAGTAGATTTTTATATATGTCGTAAATAAGACAGGGTGTTATTGACAGGGTCATTTTTGGACACTCAACAGCTGCAGTTTTATTTTTAGGCTCTTTTATGACAATTTTTTTTTCCTTTTTGAATGCAATTTTTAATATTGCTCTCATTTAACAAGGATACAATTTCCATGTTGTAGAAAATGTGCCCTCAATTATAACTGGATAAGCATTAGGAACTTTGGTTAACTGGAGTATCTGGAGTATCACACACACACACGCACAAGCACACGCACACGCACATGCACATGCACATGCACACGCACATACACACGCACACACGCATGTGCATATGCACACACCCACACACCTACACACCCACACACCCACACCTACACCCACATTTCAACAATTGGCATCCTGTGAGTGTCCTGTCATGTTTGGTAAGGCTACCGCTGCAATATCAATGATAAAAAAAAACTTCAAATGCTGTTAAGACTCCAAGCTGCTCTCATGAGCATGAAGTATCAAAATCACCAAAAGTATCTTTGAAAAACCTTGCAGCATTTAAAAAAATGTAACATAGTTTTTCAGTTTTCAAGTTTCAGGCTAATATATAGCACTACTTTGTCTCAAATTCTTGTACAGTAACACATGTCGGATAGAAAGACAAGATGTTGTTCAGTAATTTACTGTCCTTTAAGAATTTATTGAGGCCCCCATGAAAACACACTTGTGGGAAAATAAGGAAAGGGCTGGAAAGTCAAAATTGAAAAGTGTTAAAAAGTTGTGCGCTCATGAATTTATTATTGACTTTTCTGTCTTAGTGTCATCTTATCACATACACAACTTCTTCACCACGAAAATAATGATCTTAACCAAAGTTGTGAGAATTCTGTAATAATTAATTGGAACTTCAGATAATTGTTTATAAAATTGAAGTGAAAATTATAATTTGAAACAAATATTTAAAACAATGAAGCAGATAGCTTCCTCAAAATTCTGTGAATTGGCTTGAATTCTATGCAAGTTCGAGAACAAATAAAATCATCATCCAAAAAGAGAAACTGTCACTGTACTTGAATGTTGTTGTGTTATTCTTCAATTTATTCAATAATGAACAATTTGAGTCATTCAACTGATACATTCTTTTTGTGAGATTAATATAATAGTCAAACTCCACATTGCCTACACATTGCTCTCTACCTTTTTGCTTCTAAATGAAATGTGAAGAGTCTGTTGCCAATAAGAAATATTTTCCTAAATCTTTCAACTTTAAATCCTCTTTCACACTTAATAATAACTTTGATAATGATTGAGGATATTTCAAGAGTTTATGCTTCTGTATGTTGTATTCACTATGAATTCAAGAAGCAAATAGCAATTTAAACCTCATTGTCAGAAAATTTTCTTCTCTCCATGATTATTTTGTACAAGTCAAAATATACACCCTTTGCAAAATAATTATTACTCATAGTTTATTATCTCTTCCTACAATTGGAAGAATTGGATGTTCAAATCTCATTATCATTCATGAAAATAATGAAAGAATGTAAATTGTCTGTAGCAAAAGATACCAAAAATATTCAGAGCTAATTACTCAATATTAAAATATTTTTAATTTTTGCAACAAAGTTTGGAATGTACTACTGTCACTTGTATGAAATATAGATGATATTGTGATTTTAGTTGTTTTCTCTGCTTTAAAAAAAAAAAATTAAAATTAAAATTTTAGAATTAAAAATTAATACATTAATATTAATAAATGCTCTTTTTTTTAATTCAGGAAAAAAATATTCAAACTGCTTTACAAGACATTTATCAGAAAAGATACACAAAGATTTGATTACTGCACACTCTTATGAGCTTCATTGTAATACTAGGGTTTGCAAACTGCAGCTCATGGGCCAGACCTTGCCAATGAAGAGGTTTTATATAACCTGCATTTCTCTCAGACCAGGGTCCCCAAAAGAAGGCAGTAGAAAACTTCAGGGGGATAGCAATACTGAGCAGACTTATTAAAGGGAAAGAGATGGCTAGGTGTGGCGTTGTGGTGAGGTAGGATGTAACAGCATTAGACCACATCACTGGGCATACAGATGGTGGATGCAGAGAGGGCAAGCATCAGATTCTGTCATTCGAAGGTTTTGTATTACTATGCATTCTAACAAGTCTCAATTCTTGCATGAGGGTACAATTTCTATCATTACTGAACAATAAAAAAACGTG